TTTGCCCGCCTGTGTAAGCCCGCCGCCCTCCGCAACGAGAAAGAATCCCCCCAGAGGGGGTGTGATCACAGACAACAAGGGAGGGTATCGAGGGTGTGGGGAACTTTTTTTTAATGACACACGGGCAAATGAGAGCGAAGAGTCTTAAAATGATTGCTGTTGTTGTTGCTGCTGCTGCTGTTTGTTGTCGGCGTCCCGCCCGCGACCCAGCCCGCGACCCACCCGCGACCCACCCGCGACCCACTCGCGACCCACGTGCGACCCACCCTGCGACCCACCCCGCGACCCAACCGCACTTCACCCGCGACCTTCCCCGCCATCGACCTTCCCCGCGACCCACCCGCGACCCGCCCGCAACCCACCCGCGACACGCCCCGCGCCCGCCCCGCTACTGATCTTCAGATGCGGTGTGTGTATATATATATATATATATACACGTGTATGTGTATATACATATGTACATCGATATACATTCCTGGTCCAAGACACGCCCCATCTTGCTGAATCCCACCCGCCTAATCCGGTCATCGCCAATGTATGATCACGCCTAGTCCTGGACTTGATCCCGCCACGTTCGGCGCGGCCAGTGGCCCCGCAATCGGGTGTGATAGCCCCTGCTCGCCCTCGCGAACCTCCCCTGCAAGTTGCCTCCGCACGTTCCTCCCGGCCGCCGCCGCCCATCCAGCCCTGCCCGCGCCGCTGCTGCAGGCGGCCCGACGCCCGGGAGCTCTCGCGGCCAGGGGCCAGTCCCCCCCCTGGGCCATGCGGGGCGCGGGCGGGCGGTAAGGGGTCGGCGCGGGCGCGTGGCGGATCTGTCGGGGCCCGGTGGAGCCCGCCGGGCGCCATGGGCGCCGACAGCAGGAGCACGAGGGCGCCGCCCGCTGCTGCTGCTGCTGCTGCTGCTGCTGCTGCTGCTGCTGCTGCTGCTGCTGCTGCTGCTTAGTCCTCCTCCCAGAGAGGAAGAGGTTCTGATACTGCTAGTCTGGCCTCGTTATTGCTTTTTCGGGCCTCCTGGGAGGCCGTCGTCGCCACCGCTGGATTCGCGTCAAAATCAAAATGCTGGTCAGAGTGCGCCGTGGGAGAGGTCCAGGGAGCAGCCGTATGCGTCTGGGGAGAGCGCCGACGGCGTTTCCTGTTTTTACCCGCCAGCGTTTTTGTTCTTCGGCCTTGTGGGGTCATTCATGGGCCCGAGGAACATCAAGCATTGATCTGGGACGATAGCACGAACCTTGGGGAAGCGGAAGCGGTCGGAACCTGTGTGGCCGCGGAGTGAAACGATCATGTCGGCGGATGTCATGGCAGGGGTTGCCACTGTTTCATCCTCCCAGGGTCCATTTCGCTGCGCTCGGCCCCGCTCAATGTGTCGGTTTCGGGCGGTCTGGTCAAATGGAGCGGCCCAGTGTCTGGTCCGATGATGCGGCCCACTTCCTGGCGTGAGCCGATTCCGGCTCCGAGCTGATGGGGCCCGATGCGACGCACATGCCGATCCGATCCAAGTTTGCGATTCGATGTGCCGACCTTGCTCCCTCTTTGGCGACCGGAGCTATACATTGGAGCGCTGGGGCATTCCAGGAAGGGCCTCGCGTTCGAGAGGTCGACAATTCGACCTTCTTTTCCTTGGCGGAAGGCCAGCGGAAGGCGGCGCAAGTAAGCAGCAATTGGTAGTCATGCATCGGATGCCAGCGGAAGATCGGCGGTAGGCCGCGGACTTTTTAGTGAGACTTCCATTGTTGGGAGAGCCGGCCGTATATACGACGTGGGAAATTGGAACATCTACATTACCAGTGGCGGGTTGTTTTTCAATCCGAGGATTTCTTGAAGGTCGGGGACGACGTCGGGGTGGTGTGGCGAATATTTTCTTTTTCCGTTTCCCGGGGGGACAACGAAATTGGTACAAACAGGCGTTGCCCGGGGTGCTTTGCCCCAGGAGGCGCCCCCCAGCGTTACCCAGGGTGTCTCGGGGCTCCTCGGCATGGCTTGGAAATGCCAAGCAATGCCACGCAATGTCAAGCAGCGCCAAGGAATGCCAAGACACGCCAAGCAACACCAAGCATCCAAGCAATACCAAGCTACGCCAAGCAGTACCAAACGTTGCCAAGCAGTGCCAAACAATGCCATTGCATGCTACTCAATGCCGAGCAACGCCAAGCTATGCCAGGCAATGCGGCAAGCAAATTCAAAGCATTGTCATCAAGACTTGCCAACGCCGAGCAATGGTAAGTAATGGTTGGACAGCAATGCCAAGCCATGCCGAGCAAACGCCAAGCAACGCCACACGATGTCAACCAATGCTGAAAAATGCCACGCACTGCGACGCAACGCCGAGCAACCCCAAGTAATGCCAAGCAATGCCAAACAACGCCAAGTAATGCCAGTTAGCGCGCAAAGCAATGCAACTCAATGCCAAGCAGCTTGCCAAGCAACGACCCCAATAAATTGAAAGCGATGTCAAACAATGCAGAGCAATGTCAAGCAATGCTCTGTATTGCAGCAATTGCGATTGTCCAGGACTTTTTGAATTGATTGGAAGGAAGAAGCCCGAAGTTGGGTCGGGCTGGGTTGACGCACAACGTAGACTCTCCCAAACGAGTCTCGACCTTGTCCTCCGGACCCATTTTCCGTCCCAGGTCATTTTCTGGCGTCCCCGGGGCTCGGCGAAGGCCACCAGTGCCCAAAATTGGTCCGAACCTTCCGCCTTTATTACAGTCAAAAGCCCTAATAAGGACGCGCGACTTTGCTCAGGGTACCCTTGCGTCCTTGCTCTTCCTTGCTCTTGCGTCCTTGAGGTTTTCGTCGTCCGCCGCCCCAAAAATCCCAACTTCGGCTTCCAAGGGTCTTGCGTTTCACCGCGCGTCCTTATTCGTTTTTGTTTGTATTGTAGCAAAGACGAGAATTTCGGGCTCAGGGTCAAGAGCTGCCCCCCCGCCTCTCTCCCTGGGCTGCCTTCCGGCAAGGACCTCGAAGCGAAACCGGTCGGCGGCTCGACCCTGGAAGCTCGAAGTTTATCGCGAGGCGCGCAGCGACCATCGGCAGCCTCCTCGAGCTCCTCCCTCCCTCCCTCCCTCCCTCCCCCTCCTCCCCCCTCCTCCACTTTTACTCAATATGAATACTACTCTCCCTCTTCTCCTGATGACAGTTTGAAAGAGCTCGACCCCCCCCCGCGTATTGTTTTTCACACACAGGTTTCCCCAGAGTTGGGTAGTCGCCTGCATTTTTTTCAAAATGCTGCTCTCGCTGGGGCGCCGGCCTCATTTTCGGGCCCCGCTCGTTCCGAATCGTGCTCCCGCTGCAGCGCTGGCCTCATTTCCGTGCTTGCGCTCGTTCCGAATCGTGTTCCCGCTGCAGCGCTGGCCTCAGTTCCGCGCTTCCGCTCGTTTCGACTCGTGCGCCCGCTGCAGCGCTGGCGTCATTTCCCGTGCCATGCCACGGCATGCAATGCAATGCCAGGTTGATACTACGCTTTGCGGTGCTCTTCAACGCCATGCCATGCCGTGCTCTACAATGCATCGCGTACCCTTTTCGGGATCATTGCCCTGCTCGACATCCGACTGTGCGAGTAGAGAGGGGATCTACGCCATGGATGTCAGACATGACGCGAGCGCACCTAGCTTGCCTCCCTCCCCTCCCCCTCCTCCTCCCCCTCCTCCCCCTGCTCCCCCCCCCCCCTCCTTCGCCCTCCCTCCCTCCCTCCCTGCCTCCCCTCCCTTAGCGCGAGGCGTCCCGCCGCCGGGGCGGCGGTGTCCTCCTGCCTCGACGGGGGATCGGGCGGCCTGGCCACTGGGCCGCTGCTCTCGCTGGGCGGGCTGTGGGTATGCCCCGATGGTGTCCTTCCCTTTTCTCCCTGTCTTAGCCCATGCGCTGAGGCATGTCCAGTCCAGTCCAATCCCTCCCCTCGATCTCCTCCCGTCCTCCTCCTCCCGTCCTCCTCCTCCTCCTCCTCCTCCTCCTCCTCCTCCTCCTCCTCCTCCTCCTCCTACTCCTCCTCCCTTCCCTCCTCCCTCCTCCTCGACCTCCTCCCCCCCTGCCCGCGTTCGACGACGACCTCCTACTCCCGCCTGCTTCTCGGCCTCCCCCCCCCGTCCTCCGGCAGCTGGAGCGCGCGCGCGTGCGCCGCCCTCCAGCCTGCCGCTCGGGCGACGTCCCGAGGGCACCGCGCCCGCGGGGGGCGAGGGGCTCGCCCACTCGCCTTTGCATCTCCAGGCACGATCCCAGGCATGATCGCGTCGTCGAAAAAATCAGGACGGGAGGTTTTTGGCAGTTTTCGGCCTGGGGGGGCCCCCGCGGAGCCTCGGGACCGTCCAAGAACGACTCAGGATGAGAAGCCGGTCCTGGGGAAGGGGTCTGGACTTCCAGGGACGCCGTCCTGAACGAATCAGGACGTCGCATGTTTGAGTCTGCATCTCCAGACATGATGGCGATGCGAAGGAGTCACGACAGACAGCTTCTGAGGCGTTCAAAGAAGGGCCCTTGCCTTCAAGAGTCGAGGAGTTGTCATCTCTTCCTCGGCGGAATGACGGCGGAAGTGAAATGAGGCCGCCTCCGCCGGCGGAAGCCAGCGGAGGGCCAGCGGAAGGCGTCGAAAGTAATTACAATCCTCGCCCCCGAGAGGTGAGAACGATTTTGGGTTCCGGGTTTCCGAAGTCCGGCAGATGCTTCCAGCTTCTCGGCCTCATGGCGGGCCTGGCCAGGCCCTGGGACCCTCAAACAAAACTGAGTCGGGACGACAGCGGAGCCCGGGGGCAGGGCCGGGGCGCGAGGGCTGGGTGCCGTGGGGTTCAGGAGGGGAAAAAACACACAGACACAATGAATCGTCGATTCCCCGGGGAAATATAGGAACATATGGGAAGTGGTGGGGAAGACAAAAACCCAGAAAATATGGGAACATATGGGGAATCCTTTTATTTGTGTGTATTTATTGGTGTGTGTCCTTGGGCCCTTTTCACACAAGGTAGGACGTCGCAGGTCGGGGTCTCGCTCCTCGCCCCCTGCCTCTATACCATAGCCACCCGAGCCCGAGCGCGCCGGCGTGCAGGCCAGGACATGCCGCCGCCCTCCGCCCATGCCCGCTGGCGCGGCCCCCGCCGCGGGCCCGGGCAGGACGCCCACGCCGGCGCGGGCGGCGCATGGCTCTGCGCGGCCGCCGCGGCGGCCGCCGCGGCGGCCGCGGCCGCGGGCGCCCGGGGGATGCCTTGGCATCGCTCGGACGTGTGCGTTTTTTCCTCGGCGAGGACCGTCGAGGATCATCTGGCGAAAACGCCACGCACGAAGCCGAGCAAAGAAGACATGGGAATGGACGTCCGAGCGATGGCCAGATGCCGCTGTCTCCGGGGGTGCGTGCTGGCAGGGGCTCCGAGGCGAATGCGGCCGGGGCGACGAGGGGCGCGGCGGGCGGCGGGGGCGGATGGCCCCCTTTCTCCCGAGGCTGCTCCCCTGGGGCGCGCTCTGACCAGCCCAGGCCTCCGACGCCTCGGCGTTGTTCGAGGCACGGGCCTCCGACCTCCCGACCACTTCCCCGGGACCAGTTCGTCCTCCCGAGTGGTTTTTTGACGGTCCCGAGGCTCGGCGAGGGCACCCTGAGAGGCCGAAAATCTGCGAGACACCTCCGTCTCGATTTTTGTCGAGGCGCCCGAGGTCTGGGAGGACTGCGAGGCGAAGGCGGCCGCGGCGGCGCGCGCCGCGGCAGCGCTTGCCCGTTCATAGCCTCCTCCCGAGGCGCGGCGAGCGGCGCCGCCTGGCCCGCGGCCGCGGCGTCCAGAGCGGCCGCCTTCCCGGGCATGCCGGGCGGGGCCCTGGGCGGGCCCGCGGTGCGAGGGCGCCAAAGTGTGCAAGTCGGGCGTGTCCCTTCTGCAGGGGGGATCTCCCCAGGCATCGGGTGCCTCGACGAAATCGAGGCGCATGTGTTTCTCAGTTGTTGCCCTCTCGGGGCCCTCGCCGGGCCTCGGGGCCGTCAAAAAACGACTCGGGAGGAGGAACTGGTCCCGGGGAAGTGGTCGGGAGGTCGGGGGCCCGCGTCTCGAAAAAGTGGGACCGTCGGATGTCTGGGTCCCAAGATAGTCAGAAGAGAGTACGGGGACGATTTCCTTACTATGTTTGATTGCCGTTCGGTTATTTCCTGGCTATGGTTTTTTCTTCAGAAATCTCAGCCTGTAGGAGGACTTGCCCGACCTAACACGATGTCACCTGCACCGACCTTGGACAGGCCGATCCGTCAGAGCTCCGAATCATCAGGGCGTGGGGGTGGTCATCGAGCAGTGGCGTAGCGTCCTGGCTTGCCTATAGGCCCACCAGATAATTTTCTGAGAACCTTTTGTGGTCTGCACGAACAGTTCTTAGAGCACTCCTGGCTGGGACTGTCTTGTTTTAGCACATGGGGCTCATCTTCGAAGGACATTGTTTTTGCTATTCGAACATATCTGGCTTCTAAGAACATTTCTTGGTTGGCCAATCGGAATGCCGGGACGGTCGGTCCCTGCTCAAGATCAGGGGTCTTTGCAGAGCCGCGTCCCGGGGGCCCAAACCAGAGTTACCCCGGACAGCAGTTATCCCGGATCATTTGGGCGTCCAACCCTCCCAGATCATCAGGGCCAGGGGCTGTCAGGGGTAGCTACGGGTTGGCGCCGCGGGGGCCCAAACTGGAGCTACCCTGCACCGCAGTCATCCCGAATAATGGGCCCAGGATTAGCATAGGCCTTACCGGCCAAGCCAGGTTCTGAAGACGATCTTGGGAGCCTTTTATAGTCACTTAGCCTGGCTCTCCTGCGCCTCCCGTGGTCCGCAGTTCTCTGGAGGCCACCGGAGGCCGCAAGGGGCCATGGGAGGAGGCACCGGAGGCCGCTGGAGGCTCGCGGAGAAATTCTGGAGGCCACCAGGGGCCGCTGGAGCAGCTACTGCGGCCACTCGGGTGATTACGAAAGGCTTCCAGGAGCGCCTACTGCAGCCAGAAGGGCGTACGGTTGGCGTTGGAAAGGGAGCGTGCGATGTGGTGCCGCAGGCCTGCTTATTGCACGCCATCTCCAGCTTGGGGGAAGCGTGCGCCGGGGCTGCCCTGGCAGGGGGATAACGTGGACAGAGGGGGCCCTCGCAAGGGAAACACCTCGCAGGGGCAGCTTACTCTTCGGGGATGGACGTTGCACGTTACCTTTCCAACGCCATCCGTAGTTACACACTGGCCCTGGGCCCCAGGAGGAGTCGAGCGGATGGGGGGTGAAGAAGGGGGCCCGAAGGGGGCTTTATGGGCAGGGACCCATTTGGGCCCCTGAAGGCTCCAAAAGGGGCCCGCAAGGGTCCTTTTAGGGACCTTTCCTTCACCCCCAATAGACGACAGCCCCCCATTTCCACCCCTCCTCCTCCCTCCTCCTCCTCCTCCTCCTGCTCCTCCTCCTCCTCCTCCTCCTCCTCCTCCTCCTCCTCCTCCTCCTCCTCCTCCTCCTCCTCCTACCCCTCCCTGAGCGATGGAGCCTGGCTAGGATCGGTGTGGGCGTATAGTTGGCGCTCTCCTGTATAGGCGGGCGGGGCGGCAGGCCTGGCGCGACTGAGGCCTGGGCGTGGCGCAATGGGGGGGCGCGATAACACGGGGGGCCTCCTCCTCCTCCTCCTCCTCCTCCTCCTCCTCATCCTCCTCCTCCTCCCTCCTCCCGCCTCCACCTCCTCCCTCTTTCTCTCTTCCTCCCTTCTCGACCTCGACCTCCCCCTCCTCCTCCTCCTCGTCCTCGCCCTCCTCCTCCTCCTCTTGCCTCTTGCCTCTTGCCTACCAGAGGGGCGGAGTCCACATGGCGGAGCCCCTAATGATAAAAGTTTGAGGGGGCCCATCAATGATTGTCACTCACCGACTGGGCTGCGATCCACCCAGCCAGTGAGCCGCGGCAGGGCCCCCTCCCCAGTTCAAAAATAAGCTGCTGGGGGCGGGAGCTCCAGCTGGGGTTCAGGCTCGGGCCAGGCCTTGATCTCCCTCGGGAGTGTTCCAGCTTCCAGCGCTTTGAGAATCTTCCCCCAATGCTCTGGGATCTTCTCAAGACACGGTTTGGAAAGCTGACTGAAGGTTGTGGCAGCATAACTCCCACAGTCGCGACATCAGAAGACGCCTCTGAATCTCTGGAGATGACGGTGGGAGGGGTGAATTCTAGCAGGGAGCCCAGGGCACTCAGAGCGGAGCCAACTCTCCGCCGTCCCCGACGGGGACGTGAGGCATTTAGAACACTTCAAAGGCATCCCAGGGCGATCGATCAGGCAATGAGAGGTGGACGCAGTGAGTTCAGCCATCACTCCCTGCTTGGCCAGCTTACGCCTCTTGCCTTCACGCTTCCGATCCTCAACACTGCTGGCGCCATAAATATGGGACGCATTCGTGGCGATGTGGTGAGAAATCGTCAAAGTATGTTCTTGGACTCCCCTGCTCAGGGAATCTGTTCTGGCAACTTCCGCTATGGCCCAACTTGGGAGCTGGGCTTCCTTGGCGGCCTGGTCGGCCACCTCGTCAGCAATAAAATTTGCCACCCGAAACTCAAACCTGCTATGCCGCACCAGCACGGCATCCGAAGTAGACTCATGGGATTTGATCTTGACCGCAAGGACACGCCGACCCACACACACTTGCCAGAGCAAACCCCAAAAGGTGGCATTTTCAGTGTGGTGGAAGCGGGGGCCCGACTTAATCCCGCTCACCACCGAATCATTATCTCCTACGAAAATGAGGTCCCCTTCCGTGAGCTGGGCTATCCTGAGGCATGCCCACAGCTCAGAGAGGGGAACTGTTTGCTTATACGTGGGAAGGGGCCCTTTGGCCCAAGCTATGACTTCACCATCCTGGAAAATGGCCGCCCCCCCCCCCCCCAAACCACAACGCCGACGCCTGGGATCGGACGAGTAAAGGCCACCAGACCCATCCCCTCCGATGTAGGCCCCTGGCGGGATATGAAACTTTACTTTTTGCAGCTCGGGGGACAGCGTCTCAGCTCCTTGGATCTCCAGGTGCCGAATATTGAGCGTCCTGGCCAGGGGGGTCAGGCCGCGGAGCCAGAAGCACGGTTCATCTTGCCACTCCTCGCGCGCCTGGGCCAGGAGATCCCAATGCAGCCCCTCTTGCAGGAGCTCTGCATTACAACGGCACTCCCAGAGCTGATGGAAGAGCGTCTCTTCGCATTCTTGGCACCTGGGACACAGGTGAGAGTTCCACGCAGCAACACTGGGTGGGATCTGATACATGGCCTGATCGGCATCTCCATCAGGTGGCCCCTCCTCCTCCACCTCCGAAAACGGTCCTCCTCCTCCACCTCGGGGTCATCAAAAGAGGTAGAAGCCCGCGGGGGTCTCGGAGGGTCGCTGGAGGAGGCCGAGGGCTCAGCAGTAGCAGGGGCAGCAGCACCAGCAGGAGGACCAGGAGGAGGAGAGTCAATCTTGATACCCCGCGGCTTTCACTACCGAATCGCCTCGCTGCTGGCCACAAGGCCCCTGTTGCGACCATTCTGAGCACCCCAGCTTTGTCATGAGCTTTCCGGCGAGAGAGAGAGAGAGAGAGAGAGAGAGAGAGAGAGAGAGTTCAGGCGTCGTTTCAAAACGGTTAAATCGACTCCATCCTGAGCACCCTTGCCATACACATGCGAGGCAGCAGCACGAATCCAGCACTCATGGTCTAGCGCCTCCTTTATTTCAAAATTCAGCAAATGGTCCCTGTCTAGCCCGAGAATGTTAAGGACCTCACCTCTGGGAGTTCCCCAAGAGACAGGCCCGAGGGGTTCCCGGTGAAGGCCCATCAAGCTAGCAACAACGGCACCAATCAATCTTTTCACACGAGCCCAGTGCCTGACCGCAGCCTGGAGGTGAGCAAATGTTTTGCGCCAGACAATCTCGATGGCTCGCATTCGTTCGGGCATGTGAGACAATATATCTAGCCACGAGGTGAAAACCTGCATTCGCCCCTGAACCATGGGGCCATCTCTTTCTTCAAACCCAAGCCTTACGCAAGTGGTGGGGCAGCCCCCTGGCTTCTTATAACCAGTGAGAGCTGCAACCGAGGTTCGAAGCGTTAAAGCGTGCTTGGGCTGAGGCCTTGGGCCATCTGTCCGTACGTGACGCTGGCCTGTATCCCGTCTTGGCAAGAACTCGCGCCTGGGGTGCAACCTTGACTTTTTTTTGCATATGAACAGCGCGCTTGTGGCCTTTGGCAAGGCGGTCTTTGATAACTGCTGTGGAACGACTGGCCGCGTGGCCATCAATCCCAAGATCCCGAACGTAAGTTGGGCACTTGAGGGGCGCCCCAGCAGCTGTCAGGGCCTGCGAGATCTCCTTGGCGGGGCGAGGAGGGTTAGTGACGAGCGCTGATTTACCTGAAACCTTGAAGCCGGCCGTGGTGAGACGAGACGCCAACGAAATCGCAACCGACTTAGTGCGAGCAACAACGTCAGCTTCTCTGCCAATCTCGACCTGGCCCAAGTCATCTACCCACGTGGACAGATCTAAGGGCCTGTAGCCTGCATGCTTCGACTCCAGCACTTGCCAAAGTGACAGCTTGGCTAAGTCAACGCTCTGGTTACAGCCGGCTATAAGTGACCTGTCTGGACAGATCAACTTGGAAACAACTCCTTCCGCTCGAAGCCTCCTCGGTCCTCGGTCCTCGGTGAGTGGCCATGCCGAGCGCAAGCACTGGGAGGGGATAGCCAACCCCTTTGGCCACATTGGCCTCCTGAAAAAGCCGAAAATGGTCGTAACACTTGTCGACGTCCCAGAGAACCTCAGCCCAGGAAAAACCTTGAGACGTGGCCATTTCTAATTTACATTGGCGAATGAGGGCCGCTCGAAGCGATGAGCTGCCTCTGACCACTTTGTCCCAGTGCTGAGATCGCTGGGCACTCCAATCAGCAATCTCCCACCTCCGCGTCCTCCCCCCCGTCCGATACAATCCTTGCGTCAGGGTGATCGGCCTATCGGCCACCTGACTCTTGCGAATTAGCTGGACTAGGTCGAGAAAGACTTGCGGCGGCCAGGTTCCTGCTCTCTCGATGCTCCTGAGAAGTTCTAGCAGGTCATCCAGACCTTCTTTCCGCAATCTACGCCACCAGTTCGGTTTCTGCTGGTCAGCCCCGACACCGACTACTCCTTGAAACGACTTGAGGGCCTCTAAAAGCTGCTGCATGAAAAGTTCGCCCAAGGGTCCCCATACTGGCCTCCCGAACAAAATCCCCCCACAAACCCGCAGGGCCTTCAAAAGTCTCAGCGCGCCACAGGGCCTCCCAAAAGTTAGCCTTCTGATCAATGGCCGCAATGGGGCCCCTTATGGTGCTACCATCAGGGCGCTTCTCAGGGGCGAGGTCTGGGGATTCCTCGCCCCGCGTATTGGTCCACGCGTAGGGCACGCCAGCGCCTCTTGATAAAGAATTGCGGATCCAATCTTAAAAACACTTTTGACTGGAGCGTACAAGATTGAGCTCAACGTTCTTCACAGCGCGACCAGGATTATTGAGCCCCTTCTTGCACGTGTCAATTCGCTTATAGGTGGCAATGCGAGCAACTAGGCGAAGTGCGCGCTCCTCTCCCTCATGCGACAGAAGCCTGGGCAGGAAGCAAACCTTGTCCAAGCAAGCTCCTACTACTTGCCAAGCGTGTTCAATCTCGCCTGGATCCTTCGCCTTTTCGCGTAGATGAAGCCAATCAGCAGCGCCCACGCACTTAGCCCGCGATATTCAGCTTGCCATCCGACCACCGTCGTGGGAACTACTGGGACCTCGATGGTCTCCACTGCCCAACCTCGGTGCTGGGCGCTGCCATCGAAGTCCGTCTCGATGTTCCTGTGCGCGCAGAAACTCTCCGCTGCCAGGGCGAAGGTCATGTACTGCTGAGCCAATGCAAGGTGAGCCTTTCCATTGCAATGGCGTGCAGAGGCCTCGTCCTGCGCTGCAGCCTGAACCTTTGCCATGCCCTGGTGCATCAGCGGCTCGACACGAACTGAGTGCCATTCTCATAGTAAATCAGGCCCAGGGGTGCTCATGTCGATGATGGGGCAGGGACTGATGACTCGTTTGGGCATGGTGAACTCTCTGACTCTGAGCCGAAGTCGCATGCCAGAATGCGGGGCTCCCCAAGGCCCCTCATAATCCCACGATAGGTCTACAAGATTGTGGAGGTGATGGCTGACGAGGCAGAAGTCGATGCGACGATGGCCACCTGTGACTGCCTCTTGAGGTCCTTTCCACCCTCCACGAAGAAAGACTTGTAAACCTGACTGCTGCATTTCTCTGATGGTACTGTTCCAAGCCCCAACTACGACGGAAGGCTTGCCCTGAACTTTCAAATAATTGCCGATCATCCAAGATCAGGAAATTAGTGCCGGAGATTCCAAGATGCGGCGCGAGGTAAGCGGCGACGAAGATTATGTCCACATGCTGCATGCTGGCTGTCGTAGCGCACCACTGGCTAATCTGGCCTGGGCCTGACTGCTCCATGATACTGAGCCGATCTGTTAAGGTGAGGGGGTCGTGCCAGAGATGCTTCCGCGTGAGAATCGCAACACCTCCATGCCCTTGCTGTCCCCCTCCTGCTGTGTC